ACAGCTAATTTATATGCATAATTGGGATTATATTTTCCAATGTGCATTACTTTGCATTTATCAACATTGAATTTTATCTGCCATTTTGTTGCTCAGTCACCGATTTTTGAGAGAGCATTTTGTAGCTCTTCGCAGTCTGCCTGGGACTTAACTTTCTTGAGTACTTTTGTATCATCTGCAGATTTTGCCAGCTCACTGTTTACCCCTTTTTCCAGATCATTTATGAATATGTTGAATAGTACTGGTCCCAGTACAGACCCCTGGGAGACACCACTATTTTCCTCTCTCCATTCTGAAAACTGACCATTTATTCCTATCCTTTGTTTCCTATCTTTTAACCAGTTACCAATCCATGAGAAGACCTTCCCTCTTATCCCATGACAGCTTACTTTGCTTAAGAGCTTTTGGTGAGGGACCTTGTCAAAGGCTTTCTGAAAATCTAAGTACACTATATCCACTGGACCCCCTCAAAGAATTCTAGTAGAATGGTTTAATTTTAGAGGCATTTGAGGAAAAATTAATTAAATTTGAGTTTTGTGATTATGAGCCCAATATTCAATTGGACTGGCAATGGAAAGAAACTTAGGAATATCACTAACATTTTATAATTTTTCCTTCCTTTCTTCCCCATTTGAAATGGGAGGTTGGAGGTCTGACAAAATTAAATTAATTCCTTTCACTGAGAGTAATGGTTTATCGCTACAGGTGGTTTTAATATGTAGTTGAAGTCTCAAGCACAGAACTTGCCCTAGAGTTCTGAAAGACATGAACTGCTCTTCTTTTCTCTGTCTAACGTTAGGGTCATACGTAGGCTTTATCATATGCCACAATGAACTTTGGCTCTGCCACATCACACTGCCTTCACAAAATGTCTGTAGGTTGTTTTAAGTTACTTTGTATAAACCTAACTTGAGAGAATTCAGGATTTTTGTCATGAGACTCAGTTATGCAACATCTTTGCTCCCAAACCAACTTCCAGATGGTAACACACAGATACCAAAGCTTTTTCTCATTGCCATCATTGGACATTTAGCCATGAAATTACTTCAGCAAATACAATACAGAAGCATTTAATTGAAAATTAACCCCAAGCTCCTACACCCTTAGCTGTAATGTCAGTGGGAGATAGTGGTGCACAGCACCCTTGAAAATAAGGCCACTGCTTTAGGTGCTTAAATGTGGATTTCGGTGCCAAACTTTAGGAACTCATATTGGAAGATTTTGGCAGTGTCTGCACAACCTCAGAGTTACTCAGAACTGAAATAATTGCAAATATTGGTCCTGCATTGGGGTTTTATAGGAAATAGAGATTACATTGAACTCAAATAAACGAAAAGATCTTAAAGCCTGAATGCTTTTAATAACCATGCTTAGTAATATAGAAAGCAGAAATAGGAGGTATTGGATGTATTAGTCACAACAGTCACAGGACAGTCTGCAAAAGGCAAGTTAGAAACAAGAGATGCAAGCATAGAGTACACTAGAGGAATGTACCATTCTAACCGGTCTAACCCATTAAAACACTTGCAATACACCTCAAGCTCACACAAGCTCCAACCTGTTTTCTTTCATTTTTAAGAACTATTTAGATTAGAATAGCTTTCAGCAGGTCTAAACCAATTTAGTGCCAATGGGGACAGCATGAAGATGCTTAAGATAGGCCTCCTACTACTGCCCCACAGGGGACTGATGGCCTTTCCGGGTCTTCCTGCTTCTGGTAGCTATGCCAGGAACTGGAAGATAGGTACCCAAAGGCAATGCAAATTAAACAGTTGAAACAATGTCAGTATGGACAAGAGCAAGATAGTTAGTGTGGATTGATATATTGGCAGGCTCTAATACAAATAGTCAGTTACAAACAGCTGAATTCTTCACTGCAGATCCAGCTTTTGGATGGTGCAGTCTATGGAACTTTTATAATACAGAGGCTAGTTCTGGCCATCAGCCAGTAACTACTGAGTCACAGCTGTATGTGGCAGTAGCTACCATAAACTGGCACTCATTTAACTGGCAGATAAAAGCCACAATGGAAAAAAGAAGCAAACTCAACAGCTGAACCCTACTGATATGAATTTATGTAGAATAATTGCACAGTCTAAAGCAATATACAACACAATTTACAAGTGAGGAACTTCTAACAGCAGGCAGATTAAGGTAAACAAGTACACAGACAGACAGCAAACAGAGATGACAGAATTAATCTTTGTTTGTCTGCCTCTCTGTTTATTTGTAGATAACCCAAAGCAGTTCCTTCCCTGCTATTGCTCAACTAGATAATACATTGAGAAACAGTTTTGCAGCTTAAGAATTATGGATCTGGTAGTTTAACCCTTCTTTGAGAGCACCCTGCACTCTTGAGATGGATGCGGGATGGGTGCCCCCACTCTTCATAACCATATCCTGACACTGTTGCTGCCATCTATCTTTTTTCTCTCTCCTGTCAGTCTGCTTTTCTCTATTCTCATTGACTTTTCCCCTTTGTTCTTTCTTTTTTCTTGCTCTATTACCTAGCTCTACTCCTCTCTTCCACTCTTTCTGTGGTAGTTCTGACCCTTTCTCAGCCCCATTCACCAGAAGAATCCATGGTGTCTGGGATGCATGATATCCACTGATGGCACCCAAGGGTGACTTGAGTGCTAAAGGAATGGAGAAAAGAACTTGGACTGATGCGCAGCTGCCTGAGCCTGAAGTCTCCTATATAAGAGCTGCTCCCCCTGTCAGCTATGTGGGAGGCCACAGTGGGTATAGGGAGGGAAGGTGGGTGGCTTTCAGTGCACCACCTGACATTTTATCTGCAGACACAGCAATGCAGGAGGAAGATGGAGATTTCACCTGCAACTTTCTCACCCATGTTATCTTCTGTTCTGCCCTGTAGCTCCTAACTTGCTTGATCCCCGCTCTCGCCCCCACCACCACTGGGAAACATTGCTTTAGAAGATGAACAATCTACAGTGAAATTATTCAGTAAAGAAATTTAATGTCCTTTTCAAGAATGCATATAGCCAGTGTTGTCTTTTGCACCTGTGCTGGGCTACAAATGAAACCTTAAAATACTTAACAATGAGGTTGCAATTACAAAGTTTTCAATAATAATAATAATTAATAATTAGTTGGCAGTGAGAACTGAGTGGAAAATAAATATGAGGAAAAAAAGAAGTAGAGCAGGAACATGATGAAAACACACCAAGTAGCAATGCTCAGGAAAATCAAGAGGAGAAAAAAATGGGGCTCAACAGTCAAAGCAGAGAAGTAAAAATTGTAGCAGGACTTTTAATTGGCTCTGAAAAAGGTCAAAAGGGTTGGAAAAATAAAAAGTTTAGTGCAGAGGACATTAGACCATTGGTAGAAAAAAATAAACATGAGGGCAACATCAAACAAAAGGATAGCGGATAAGACTGCGGGCTTCAAATGTGAGAGGAGGGAGAGATCCGTGGACAAAAAAAGAAAAAGGAATATATGGAGCACAAGCACTCAAAGAGGCAAGACGACAAAAAGAAATGAACTGAATGTCTGTTTGGCTAATGCACAAGACAATTTTCTAGAAGTGCCCTGTATCTGACTATACAAAGTGACACTATCTCACCACAAGCATCAGTACACCAACAATGTAATATAACCACCATGTAATTTGACCTTGGGACACAGCATAGTCAGAGCTGTTAATGCTTCCCTTACCCATGGGTCTGCACACATGAACTGAACCAAAAGAAAAACAAATACTGGAGCTTCCCTCAGTACCCCTATTCTATATTTAGAGTGGCTGGCTGTTTTAAGGTGGTGACTAGTAATTGGCCAATTTGAAATTCGTTCTAATCCAAATAATAACATGTATGAGTAGAAAAAAATCACAGCAAAAAATATGAAATTGAACAACCTATTCGCGTATCTGTTGTTACTGGTTAATGGCAGCTATGTCTTGCCCGCCACTAACTTCTCCTGTTGTCCAGTATCAGGTCTTAAAATGGTCTGAAAAAGGTGGATGTGTGTGTGGGGGGGAAATCTAGCTACAGAAATGAAATTGCTATCACATCTGCCTGACCCTCCATTAACTCTGCCCCCACATCTGTCTTCCTATCCTCTCCCCTCCCCCAATTCTTCCTACAGTTCCAGTTGATCTTCACCTCCCACTTTCCCAGGCCTCGGAGACTGCAGCAAGGTCCCTTTATCCCCTTTCCCAGGAGGAGTGTTGTAGAGAGGGGTGTGTGTGTGTGTGTGTGTGGTTGGGGGCGGGAGCAGCAGAGGAACTGGCCAGTTGGTCACAGAAAGGTGGGGAAGAGGAAGGGGTCACAGCCAAAATAAATCAACAAAAAGTCAGTGGTAGACAAAAAAATGTAATAACACTCTCTTTGTATTACATTAAAGGAGCTGGAAAATCTTGATTAATCATGCTAACATTTATTTGCAAATATGACAATGCAGATGTGTGTGCTATGTAGCTAAAAAGGCAAAAAATGAAGAGGTAGGATAGAAGAAAAAATATGAAAAGTGGTAAAACAGAGATGAAAATCACATCTTCCTTACTTGGCACCGAACCATGCCCCTTAGCCACTCCACCAGTTTTTCCCAACAGTCTTCATTTTTTTATGTACAAAGAGTTTTTCCTTTGAAAAACTCACATGCTCAAATTCTCTTCGTTTCCTCCAAAAAGACAGATTAGCTTGAGGTTATTGATAGCTTTTTGGAAATTTACAAGCATTCCTCCTGCTAACTCAGAAAGACAACATGATTTGTCAATGTGATTTATGGCTTAGACTCACATGTTGGACACTTATTGTTGAGCTCTCTTATAGATTAAAGGAAGGGAAGCATGCCCTTCAACTCCATTCCTTTCTGCCTATATTCCAAGAGATTGAGGAAATAATTTTTAATTTTCTTTGAATTGGCATCTGCAGAATGAAAACATTATGCAATTTGCAGTCAGTCATGCAAATTTTTATTTGGAAGTTATATAGTAAAGGAATAGATTTATGTGCACTAATCCTTCTCTCACCATTTTTCAGACAACTGAAACGTGAATTTCCTGGTGCTGTTATTCTTAGCACTGATGACTTTTTCTTCACGGAAGATGGCACCTATGTGTTCAGACATGATTGTCTAGAAGAAGCACACTTATGGAACCAAAAGAGAGGTGATTGAAACCATTCCTAGTTTCTTCACAGTCTTAATAGATTCACTCACATCAGTTTCTAGGTACTTATACAGCCTTCAAAACCATAGTATTTCAGCTTAGTATCCTTGCATTATAGTGACACCCTGGGATGAGCGAGAGCAAGTTTAAAGTTGATCTTCCATTGAAGTTCATGGCTTGTCAAAAACCATATTTACAGTCTCCAACTTTGTTCTCTAGGATGTTAAAGAAATAAATTCTATATTACATGAACAAACTTTGATAAACTCATGGCTAATTTTGTTTTTTTAAAAACTTTTTAAGCAGTACACACTCACTATAGAAGTGCAGCTGCTGCGAAATTTAGATATTGACATGTGCACAAACCCCAGCTGACGTTGTTCAGAATATAGCAGCTTAACCATCTACAATGACTGATTTGTGGCTTTTACACTAGGTATTTGTTGTGTCAAAGAGGTGGTTTACAGAGTTTATTAGAAAGATTTTTACTAGGTTTGGGAGCTGAATAACAGTAACATTTTAGGGAGAAAATTGTGACAGTCTTTTAAAGAGATTGATGAGTGTGAACTTGTGTATATCAATATTATGACATATTTACTCCTGGGGGGATTCTGTGCCAAAAAATTAAAAATTCTGTGTCAAAAAGTTAAAAATTCTGCATATTTTATTTGTCAAAATAATGCAATACAATCACCCCAGTTTCAATTGTTTTGATAATTTATTTGAACTACAATACAGAAAAAAGTCACAATAACTATTCAGTATTTCCTAAGCACATGAAAGTTAAGTTACAAATACTTGTAACTAATACTCTGCATTCCAGTTATAATCCTGGATTTTCATTTAAATTACATTATGCCAAGGGAAAAAAAAGTAGAATGTCATTTTAAATTGCTCAGACTTTCACACATGAGTCATAGAGTTTTGCTAATCATTGTCCTGGACCTGGCTGGGTACTTTGGGAAGTGCTCAGTTCTGATTGTCCTGACATTTTATTGATTGCTTGGTAAATGTTTTATTTGCTCTCAAAGTCTTTTTTTTTAAATGGGTAAGTAAAATAAATCCTGAGCTATAATCTAACTCCATTGTGCCACTTTGGCACAGGAAAAAAGGGTAAAAGCACATAGATCTTCCTAGCTGATTCCTTTACTGTCATTTATAAGGCTTTACATCACTCTGGCAACGTAGCAGCCTTAAAATTGTTTGCAGGTTTTATGCTCCTGGGGGAATTGACTGAGAATGGGAACAGTTAACTAACAATAGGAACATTAACAATGTTACTAGGCAGGCAGGCTGCTATGTTTCTGCCTCAGAGCATGAGATCAATTTCTGCCTCGGGGACAAAGCCTTCCTCGTGCATAATAAAAAGCCCTACCTCTCCATGCCAGGCTCTCTCGCTTGTTGGCAGGCATGCATGCCTGGCCCTGCCCCCTGACAATGATCAATGCAGGCATGCACACCTAGCCCCCGTCCCCCTGCAGCGATTTGCGTCTCTGAGGCTTCTCCAAGCATGCTGGAACAGACGCGCTGCCTGGGCTGCCAAGGAAGAGGCGCGTGTCCACCCGCAGATTTCTTCTGCATTTTTCTGTGAGAGGGCAGAATTCTGCCAGGAGTATATATTGTACCAAAGTGTATTTATACCTGCTAGCAATCACCCTTTATAAATATTTTATTTACATTGCTACTGCTTATATAAATCCAAGTATGTTCTAAAACTAAATATCAATATTTAGAATATATTGTTTTTAATTCAAGGTTTACTGCTGAGCACATCCATTGGCTACTTAACATCTTCTAGCAATTTTAAAAGCATTAGCTGATTACAGTCCATTATTATTTATTTTCATTGTGATAGGCATAGATGCCAACTTCCCCTCTGCCCCATGGGTGCTCGACCCCCCCCCGCCCTTGCACCACTCTGACCCCACCTCAATTCCACCTCTTCCCCCAAGTCCCCACCCCTGCCCCGCCTCTTTACTGCCTCCTCCCCCGAGTGCACTGCATTCCCAGCAATGGAAGGGGGAGGAGCGGGGACGCGGCACGCTTGGAGGAGGCGGAGGCAGGGAGGGGGTGGGGGGAGCTTGGCTGCTAGTCGGGGGAAGCACCCACTAATTTTTCCCCGTGGGTGCTTCAGTCCCGCAGCACCCACAGAGTCGGCGCCTATGGTGATGGGCCCTCAAAGGCCAAGTCAGGAATAGGACCCCACTTTGCTGGGGGGTGTACAAATAGAGCAGCGGTGCTCAAACTGTGGATTGGGAACCCAAAGTGGGTAATGACCCCATTTTTATGGGGTCACCAGGTCTGGCATTAGACTTCCTGGGGCCTGGGCTGAAGCCAAAGCCAGAGGGCTTCAGCCATGGGCAGCAGGGCTCAGGTTACAGGCCCCCTGCCTGGGGCTGAAGCCCTTGGGCTTTGGCTATCTCCTCCTCCTCCTCCCACCCCGGGCGGCAAGGCTCAGGTTTTGGTCACCCCCCTCCTGGGGTTGTGTAGTAATTTTTGTTGTCAGAAGGGGGTCACGGTCCAATGAATTTTGAGAACCTCTCAAATAGAGAATGTTTTCAGTCTGGATCCATCTGTTGTCTGGTGTTTTTGAGCTTTATTTAATGTTATGTTACAGCACATAAAGCAATGAAGAATGGGAAATCCCCAGTTGTTATTGATAATACCAACATCCACGCTTGGGAAATGAAGCCATATGTGATTATGGTAGGCAAAACTCTGATCGACTATCATTCTAAATGCTTAGCTATGAAATTTAAGAGGTGGACTGATTGAAAAAAATGGGAAAATACTAAAAAAATAGTATTTCAATTTTTCTTTTGATCTTCAGTTATATTTATCAACAGTTGAGTCCTTGCAGAAGTGGTGAAGAGGTTTGCCTGTGTACATGCTAATAAACTCTTTAGTTCAGTAAGAGCAAAAATCACATGAAAATATTGTCTGTTGTTAAACTTACCCAATAATTACTGAGAGATCAACTTGTAATTTCCCTTCCCCCAATAGTAGTCTTAGATTTAACAGTTTCCATATTGTTTATCTGACAAACATATAAAGTCCTGATTTATGGCCTTAGTTTACAGCTTGCTGTGTGGAGATCACACAAAGAGTCTAGAGGCTGCATTTGTATCAGCCTTTAATGATTGGCAGAGATGGAGCTTTATTTGCAGTCTTCCTAGTATGACAGTGAGGCCATTAGTGCTAATGTTTCAGTTATGCTTGAGTACAGCCACCTTGGATTGTGATCTTGTCAGAGTTTAAAAGGCTGAGACTGCCAAGATGCAGGAAATAATGGCGGTGGCTCTGTGTCCTCTCAGCTGCTATCAAACTAGTGCTTGTGTGTAATTTTTCCAATGAAAATCAAGGTCGTGACCACTTGTGGATGAATGCATAGTAACAGCAATCTAGATCAGAGGTCCCCAAACTGTGATCTTGTGGCTGGTCACGTGGTGCTGGCTCTCCCCCTCCTTTCCAGCTACTAAATTGGATTCTTTTAGAAAAGGTAAAAATATTTTAAATACTTTTTTTCTAATCTCACTTTTCCATCTAAGCAATTGCTGTAGTTGCCACAGACATGTTATGTAATTGTGAATGGGAAAGAAGATGATCTGTGTGATTAGGAATGGAAAGAATGGTCCACCCTCTAAGTTTGAGAATTCCTCAGGTAGGTGACTAGGCACATAGTGAATGTTAAGTGCTAGCATAAATCTTCAAGAGATGTAAAAGATCTAATGGTAACTGCTTTAAAATTTGTGCACTTTTTCAAATCAGGCACGTGAGAATAACTATGAAGTTATATTCCAAGAACCTGACACACACTGGAAATTCAATGTTCGAGAGTTAGCAAGGTACATCTTTTTTCCTTGATTCATCAGCTTGCATCTCAATTACTATCACATTTGTGCTAGAAAAAAGAGCAAGACTGTAAGATGCTCCCTCCTCCTTGACCATTGACTAGAAATAGTCTAGTAAATGACTAGCGGAAGACGGTTGAGGAATAGTTTTGTTACTTAGCTCTCAATGTGGACAAAATTAACATCCAACAACTCTAGTCATGCTGAAGGGTATGAATCAATAGGAAGCTGCTCCTTAGATTATAAGATCCTTAGGGGCAGGGATCATGTTTGTGTTCTGCACCTAGCACAATAGGCTCCTGGTCCATGTCTTGGGCACCTAGGCGCTACGATAATACAAATAAATTAATAAATATAATAATACTAACATTTTGTGACTTATGCACTTAAAATATAACCATAATATTTCTTTAATATAGTTTGGGGAGGAGTGGATGCTACATTAATAATATGCAATAAATCAGTCCCTGAGGATCCTTCTTTAGATCTTGACTGATATCTATATAAGGGACAAAATATTGTTGGTCTCAAAAATATGGCAGTTTGCCTTATTCATATTGGTTTTAGCTGATTATGATGATGATTATTTATTTGTGTTATGGTAGTGGCTCTGAACCCGTCAAAGATCAGTGAGTTTCCCCATTTTGTGCTGCACAAATACCAAAGATGATGGCCCCTACCCAGAAAGCTCACAGTCTAGGTGTCAGACAGGATAGAAATGTGTGCAAAAGAGACAAGTGGTTTGGGGATGGGGATGAGGTAATAAAATGAACAGTTTAGCAGCACAATAAAAGTTTGGGTTGCCTAACCAGTGCCCCAGATGGTTAGCAATTTGTAAGCATCACAGGAGAAGTAGGTTTTAAGGATTATTATTATGTATTTGTAGTAAGAAGAGGACCTGAAACATAAGGCCTTGTATCAGAGGCCTGAGGCCTAAACTAAAGTAGAGGTTAAAATTTTGCTGATATGAGGCAAAGTCAGGTTGTGAGCAAGAGGCAGGCCCTCCTCACAGAATTTGGCAAGCACAGGGCTGATATTGCAGAAACACATATTCCTAAGAGGTGCTGGGCACAGAGCACTCACACAAGCACATTCCAGAGGGTGATACCAGAACACCTCGATACCAGCACATTCCCCAAAGATAACAGGAACACACTGACCCATACTAAAGATAAGGTCAGGATAACAGCATAATAAATAAAAAAAATTAATCAAACCAACAAGTACAAGACAATGGGTGGCACCCTAATACGTCAGGAGCAATACTTGTTTGTATTGGTGTATAAAGATGTATCTCAGAGGGAGTGTCTTGGGGCAGTGGAAAGTCCCACCACTGACTGAGCTGCATCCATTGTGACAAGCATACATGTCTTAGTACCCTTGTAGAGTCTGCCAGGTGCTATTGCCATGTTTTGTCAACAATAAACCTGGCCAGGTGCCTTTGCTAAAAACCGAGTCTGTGGATTTATTGGGCAGTTTAATTGAGGTCTGCTATCTCCGCAAAGCTGGGACAGCACACTGAATGAACACACACGCAGTCAACATCTGACCATAGTATTAATTTTAGGGTCAGCTACCTAATGATTTGTATTTTATTCTATTAATCAGTGGCATGAATGTCAACATTTCATCCAGATGTCAGGCAAGTGGATATCTAAACCAAATCTTTCAAACACACAATTTTAGGCAACACATTGGAAAGTAATTCAGGTAAAGACTGAGGATGGATACCAATGAACTATTCAGTCAGTCAGTACACATTGAAAAAGTGTCCTGATTTTGAAATGCTCCCCTATCCCTTAACCCTGATACTAAGAGTTGGGGTCTCAAGATACAATGGGTTACCTTCAATGGCAGGTGTTACTGCCCTGTCTAACCACCATCTCTTTGTGGATGGTCACTAGGTTGCTATATTAGATCCAAACCTTGGATCTCACATATTTTCAAATCTACTGCGTCTGAGAAGTGTCCAGACACGGTCTAAGACTAGCCTTTCAAGTACACTCCTGGGGTACAGACTCCAATGCTGGCACCCCTTCTTGGGATGTGGGGCCCTTCAGCCTACTTGCCCCTAAGCCCCAAGACCAGTGCAGACCTCCCAAGCCTAACTCAGTAGCTCATGCACACTCTCTAGGGTTCTGCCCACATGGTTTACCACTTAGCTCTTTGAGGGCTACATGACAGTTAAAGCAAGGGGGACATACACTTTGCAAACTTAGACAAAGCACAAGAGATATACAGATGTATGGAAAAACAACCACATGTAAGACCCTGCCTCAGTTTCCTCACCAGTCTGAAAGCCCTTTGGGTCTTAATATTCTTCAGAAGATCCAGGGTCCTTTTGCACCCCCTCTCCTATCAAGTCTTCCCTTCTGGTTTTGCTCTGGACTCCCCTTGCTAGAGAGTATCCCTTTTTGACAGCAGATTCTAGCACCTTTGTCTCTTGGTTCTTCCCTTGTGGGTTTTCCATTCTCTGGTCCTCAATGTTTGTTACAGCAGATCAGAGGCCTTACCAAGTCTTTGGTAGTCTCCATTGTGCTGGTAGGACCCTGAGTCTGCCCTACGTGGAGGGTGCTGTGCTCCACTTGGACTTGAACAATAACAGATCTTGGCACCTGTGTTGTTTGGTTATCAATGAGTGGGCATCTAATGCCATTGTCTGCCTTTCTGAAGATGTGAACTCTCCCAGGACTCTCTGCACCCATGCATCGGACATCATGATAGTAATCAAACAGAGCTACATATAAGATTCATAAAAATAAAGATATCGCCCATGTTCTTTGCAGCAGGTTCAGTGGACTTGCCCTTGTTCCAAGGGATTCACCTAAAATTACATCCTGGCTGCCCATAAAAATATTTGGGTTACATTTTGCAGTGAAGTGGCCAAAAATAGCTTTGAAAACTAGGTTAGCTGAGATATAGCAAAAATGTTAAAGCCTGACCCAGGGGGAAAAGAATTAGTGCATTATTAAACACAGCAGGAGGGTTTGCAAATGTAAGAAAATCCATCTGATACACGTAGAGAGTTAAATACTTACATTTTTCTGTTAATTTTAATTCTATAGAAGAAACAGTCATGGTGTCCCGAGAGAAAAGATACAGCGCATGAAAGACCAGTATGAGCATGACATTACCTTTCATATCGTGCTTCACTCTGAAAAACCAAGCAGAGATGGCAGAAATTCCAGTGGATCCAATGCCGCTCGCAACACTGGGGCTTATTCCAATATGTGTCCAACATTCCCAAACAGAAGAACACACAGCCGCTATACAAATGAAAGATCATTTAATAGAGGTGGATTCCAGAATGTATTTTAGTATTTCACTAGGGTATAAAAGACTAAAAAAAATTTAACCTTTTACTCTCAATTTTTGTATTTTTCTACTAAATCTAAATCAGGAGTTATTTCTGTTAATTTACAAGTCTTAAAATATTACTGTAATGTTGTTTTGTCAATTACACAATCTGAGATCACTGAAACCAATATAAACTGTACACACCATCTCTGTCCCAGTACACTCAGTGTTTGCCAATTTTCCTTGTTCAGTCATGTCTTAACCTTCAATTATAAATTTTGCAGGGTAGGGATGTGGTTTGTCTCTTGCCTGCAAATGGTCATGAACATTTCTGGTGCAGTGTAATTATTTCTTCCTGTCTTCCAGGCACATTCTCTCTCCTTCTCCCCTCATATGCAGTCTCTCACTAATGCCAATCACTTCTTTCTCCTTAATAGTTCCAAAATCCACCCTTTCTTCATGGTCGCTGTTGCCAAGACACTTGTCCACGTTGTAGTCTTTTTTAGCTTCTCTACTTTCTCCTGCCTGGCCTCAGTGCTTCTCACCTCTTCCCACCTCAGCTTGACCAGTGTAAACTTTCAATTCTTCCATTGGTTTCCTGTCTTCTTACAGGAAATTCACCTTACAAGACTCTACATAAGGTAGTCAAGCAGAAGAAATCTAAAAAACTTTGTAAGTATTTGAATGTATGGAAGTTTTCTCTGTCTAAACCATGTCAAATAAAAAGATAAAATTGGACCTTTTCTTTCCTTTTTTAAGTGTGAGAAAGTAATCTACCTTAAAAACATGCATGACCACCACCAAAAAAAAATAAAAAAGAATAAATTTGAGTGCTTTGTGTATTATAAAGTTTGGGTATTAAGGCATGTGAGCTGAGGAAGCCTTTGCCGAACCACATCATCTCTGTTTCCCATCTATAAAAATGGAGATAATGTTTACCCACCTAACTCACACGGGAGTTGTGAGCATTCACTAGATAATGTCTCTAGAGTGCTTTGAGCACACAGAATGTCAAAGAACTCTAAGGCCTTGGCTACACTGGCAATTCACAGCGCTGCACTTGCTGCGCTCAGGGGTGTGAAAAAACAACCCCCCCAAGTGCAGCGTTGTAAAGCGCCAGTGTAATCAGCGCCTGCAGCGCTGCAAGCTATTCCTCTCGGAGAGGTGGAGTACTTGCAGCGCTGCGAGAGAACTCTGTGCGGCAGCGCTGTGAATCCGCGAGTGTAACCAAGGCCTAAGTATATCATTATGGTGTGGCTGAGCACCTTGGTTTAGCTGGTGATGTGCCTGATTTCTAGTGATTGCTTTATTAGGAATGTGGAATTTATTATCTGATCATTTTCTTTCTGCTAACAGCTTCTCTCCTCATTCATCTCTAATGAGTCAATGTGCCACTCCTGGGGAATTCAGAGACGACCCAGTGTTGTTGCTGGAAGCCCCAGGACTAAGCCCTGCCCTTCAGCTCAGGTCACCAGGAGAGTTCTTCCAAAGCTGTAGAAATACTCCAGGAACCGATTATTAGCATTAAGACAACAGACTTGATACACCAATGAACCTTAAGGCAAAGAGATTCTGTTCCAGTTGTTTATCAGGATGGATTGAATGAGGAGAGGAGCTGTTAGAAGAAAGAAAACCATCAGGTAATAACTTTCTGGTTCTGCAGCACAGCTTCTCTTCTCATTCATCACTAATGGCTGGTAGCGAGCAGTGAATCATAGCGGGGGGAGGATTGGGAAGAAGGAGCAGAGTTTTAAGCATTATTATAGTAGAACAATAGGTAGAAATAAAAGTGTTACTCCATATAAAGCCAGAGTTTTGTAATTTAAACAATTATTTGAGGACAAACCCAATAGCACCTTCCTACCCTAGAACAGTACTACAGAGGAATGGAAAGCTACTTTGAAATCTTTATTATGTGAAACTCATACACTTTTCCCCCCCACAATACCACTAGGGTCCTTGTAGAGAGAGTCTTGATTCCTTCTCCATAAATAGTTTCCTAGATGTTTAGCATGCCTGCTGGGGCAGGATTTTAACATCTTGCTGCAGCAAGTTGCGGCCCTAAGGCCCTGGCATTTTGGATGGAATGATCTGAGCAGAATACAATTGGTGTGTGTTTTCCATATGTTTGAGATATACTTTAATCATTTTCCAAAGGGTGCTAAGGATTAAAACAAATGATGGGAGAACTATTTCCCAGGAATTGTGGAAAGAAAAATTTACCTTGAACAAAAAGATTTCTGGAACGAAGAGTAACTTTTTCCTCCTGACAACAGCAGTGTGCCTGACATAGATCGAGGAACTAATTCCAAAACCTATCTGTGTTCCACTTAGGGTTATGCGCATGTGCCACGCGCCTCTAGCCAAAGCTTTTTCGAAGTAGTAATGTCTGTTGGTCCGTGCATGCGCCTTTGCACTGCATTGTGATTTTGCCCAAGGTGATAAAGGGCAGGGCAGACCGACCATATCTTTGGTTCCTTCTCCACCACAGATCTACCAGATCCGCAGCAGATTGAAGGAGGGTGAGATTGAAATACAGATAGGGACCACACATCTCAAAGAACTTCCAGTTACAGGTAAATAACCTCCCCTTCTTCGAGTGAGGGTCTCTATTGTATTCCACTGAGGGTGATTAACAAGCAGTACCTAGAAAGGCGGGGGGGTACAAGGAAGATGACAGAACTGTGGAATGGAGGATCACTGCGCTGAATGAGGTGTCCACCACAGAACCATGCACTAGACTAGAAGAAAAGGTGTGTACCGTACTCCACGTGGCTGCCTTACATACGTCTGCTAGGGGCACGTCGTGGAGCATGGCAGTAGTTGATGCTTGCGCTCTCATGGAATGGGAGCGTATCCCATCTGGTGGGGACCATCCCAATAATTGATAGCAGAGCATAATACATCCTGAGACCCACTGAGATTCTCTGGGTGGAGATGGCCTGTTCTTTAATTCTCTCCACTATGGTGACAGTTTGGGAGTTTTCCAGAATGGCTTTGTCCGTCCTTTGTAGGTAAAAGGCCGGGCCCTATGTATACTGAGGGAGTGGAGCTGCCATTCCTCATTTGAGGTATGCAGTTTAGGAAAGAAAGTGGGTAGATGTATGGGTTGGTTTAGGTGGAAGCAGAAAACCACTTTGGTATGCAGGCGCAGTGAAACCTTGTCCGTATGGAACGTGGTGAAATTGGAATTTGCCATTATGGTCCCAGTTTGTCAACCCTTCTTACAGAGGTAACAACAACCAGAAAGGCGACCTTCATGGAAACGAGTGAAAGAGAGAAGGAAGCCAGAGGTTCAAAGGGAAAGTTCATTAATGATGTAAGGACTAGGTTGAGGTCCCATGGGCGGGTATTTATGTACAAGACCCTTCCAGAATCAGACAGTCAAAGGATGGGTAAAAAACGAATGTCCCTCTACTGGAGGGTGGAAAACAGTAATAGCCACTGTGTGCACCCTGATGGAGTGGAGAACAAGCCCTGAGGTTTTCAGATGGAACACATTGGGATGCCCGCAGCCTCAGGGGCAAGACCTCTGTTGGGCCCAAGAAGTGAAATGTTCCTATTTGGATTGGTAGGATTGGCTTGTGGAGTCCTTCCTTCTGTTGAAGAGGACAAATCGTACTGCTGACAAACACTCCGGTGCTAGCGGAGGTGTCCATCCAAAAACCAAGCTGTTAGGTGAAGTGTCCGTGGATCAGGGTGCCAGAGTCTGCTGTTGTGTGAGCAGTTCTGGAAACGTCAGTAGTGGGAGGGGAAGATGCTTTGATGTGGAGAAGACGGTGAAAACAGAACTGGCGAGGCCAGAACAGAGTTATCGGGTTGAACATTGCCTTCTCCCGTCAGAATTTGTGATGGATATGTTGCAGGACTGGTAGGGGAGGGAAGGCTTAGTTGATTCAGTCCAACCATTTGACGACCAGGGCGTCACCTTGTGAATGGGCACCAAGTCCTCCCCTTGAACAGTACTGAATGCACTTGATGTTGGTGTGAGATGAAAATAGGTCCCTGATCGGAGTTTCCCAGCGACCAAAAATGTCTCTGATTACTGTATCGTGTAACTCCCATTCATGGTTGGTTGCAAGGTTCCTGCTGAAGGCATCAGCAATCACATTCTGAGTTCCTGGCAAGTAGGCTGCCAAAAGAAGGATATGATGTGCAATGCACCATTTCCAAAGGCATACAGCTTCTGCACACAGTGTTGGGGACCTTGTGCCCCCTTGCTTGTTTATGTAGTAAACCGTGGTGGTGTTGTCCAACATGATGAGGACATGATGAGAACGGAGAGCTGGTAAAAACACGCGCCATGCCTTTCACATTACCCAAAGTTCCAGGATGTTGATGTGCACCCTGGCTTTGCGAGTGGCCCAAGTGCCTTGTGTCATGCAATCTCCCTTGTGGGCGCCCCAGCCATCAACTGACATAGATTCATAGATTCTAGGACCGGAAGGGACCTCGAGAGGTCATTGCCAAATACTGTCTAGACCATCCCTGATAGACATTTATCTAACCTGCTCTTAAATATCTCCAGAGATGGAGATTCCACAACCTCCCTAGGCAATTTATTCCAGTGTTTAACCACCCTGACAGTTAGGAACTTTTTCCTAATGTCCAACCTAGACCTCCCTTGCTGCAGTTTAAGCCCATTGCTTCTTGTTCTATCCTTAGAGGCTAAGGTGAACAAGTTTTCTCCCTCCTCCTTATGACACCCTTTTAGATACCTGGAAAACTGCTATCATGTCCCCTCTCAGTCTTCTCTTTTCCAAACTAAACAAACCCAATTCTTTCAGCCTTCCTTCATAGGTCATGTTCTCAAGACCTTTAATCATTCTTGTTGCTCTTCTCTGGACCCTTTCCAATTTCTCCACATCTTTCTTGAAATGCGGTGCCCAGAACTGGACACAATACTCCAGCTGAGGCCTAACCAGAGCAGAGTAGAGCGGAAGAATGACTTCTCGTGTCTTGCTCACAACACACCTGTTAATACATCCCAGAATCATGTTTGCTTTTTTTGCAACAGCATCACACTGTTGACTCATATTTAGCTTGTGGTCCACTATAACCCCTAGATCCCTTTCTGCCGTACTCCTTCCTAGACAGTCTCTTCCCATTCTGTATGTGTGAAACTGATTTTTTCTTCCTAAGTGGAGCACTTTGCATTTGTCTTTGTTAAACTTCATCCTGTTTAACTCAGACGATTTCTCCAATTTGTCCAGATCATTTTGAATTATGACCCTGTCCTCCAAAGCAGTTGCAATCCCTCCCAGTTTGGTATCATCCGCAAACTTAATAAGCGTACTTTCTATGCCAATATCTAAGTCGTTAATGAAGATATTGAACAGAGACGGTCCCAAAACAGACCCCTGCGGAACCCCACTCGTTATGCCTTTCCAGCAGGATTGGGAACCATTAATAACAACTCTCTGAGTACGGTTATCCAGCCAGTTATGCACCCACTTTATAGTAGCCCCATCTAAATTGTATTTGCCTAGTTTATCGATAAGAATATCATGCGAGACCGTATCAAATGCCTTACTAAAGTCTAGGTATACCACATCCACAGCTTCTCCCTTATCCACAAGACTCGTTATCCTATCGAAGAAAGCTATCAGATTGGTTTGACATGATTTGTTCTTTACAAATTCATGCTGGCTGTTCCCTATCACCTTACCACCTTCCAAGTGTTTGCAGATGATTTCCTTAATTACTTGCTCCATTATCTTCCCTGGCACAGAAGTTAAACTAACTGGTCTGTAGTTTCCTGGGTTGTTTTTATTTCCCTTTTTATAGATGGGCACTATATTTGCCCTTTTCCAGTCTTCTGGAATCTCTCCCGTCTCCCATGATTTCCCAAAGATAATAGCTAGAGGCTCAGATACCTCCTCTATTAGGTCCTTGAGTATTCTAGGATGCATTTCATCAGGCCCTGGTGACTTGCAGGCATCTAACTTTTCTAAGTGATTTTTAACTTGTTCTTTTTTTATTTTATCTGCTAAACCTACCCCCTTCCCATTAGCATTCACTATGTTAGGCATTCCTTCAGACTTCTCGGTGAAGACCGAAACAAAGAAGTCATTAAGCATCTCTGCCATTTCCAAGTTTCCTGTTACTGTTTCTCCCTCTTCACTAAGCAGTGGGCCTACCCTGTCTTTGGTCTTCCTCTTGCTTCTAATGTATTGATAAAAAGTCTTCTTGTTTCCCTTTATTCCCGTAGCTAGTTTGAGCTCATTTTGTGCCTTTGCCTTTCTAATCGTGCCCCTGCATTCCTGTGTTGTTTGCCTATATTCATCCTTTGTAATCTGTCCTAGTTTCCATTTTTTATATGACTCCTTTTTATTTTTTAGATCATGCAAGATCTCGTGGTTAAGCCAAGGTGGTCTTTTGCCACATTTTCTATCTTTCCTAACCAGCGGAATAGCTTGCTTTTGGGCCCTTAATAATGTCCCTTTGAAAAACTGCCAACTCTCCTCAGTTGTTTTTCCCCAGTCTTGATTCCCATGGGACCTTACCTATCAGCTCTCTGACTTACCAAAATCTGCCTTCCTGAAATCCATTGTCTCTATTTTGCTGTTCTCCCTTCTACTCTTCCTTAGAATTGCAAACTCTATGATTTCATGATCACTTTCACTCAAGCTGCCTTCTACTTTCAAATTCTCAGTGAGTTCCTCCCTATTTGTTAAAATCAAGTCTAGAACAGCTTCCCCCCTAGTAGCTTTTTCAACCTTCTGATATAAAAAGTTGTCTGCAATGTTCATTTGGCTGGGTACAAATTCAAGTACGTGCAAATAAGTCAAAATGCCTGGCCGTAGTTGTGAACAATGTCAAAAGTTGTCTGTAAATGATATTTCGGCCTGGCTCCGATGTAGTATTTCATTTTTTGTGCACGCAATGTTTTGCCGTGTGCGCGGGGTTTAGGATCTGTGTGCATGTGCACAGCTTAGAGGGAACAGTGAATAGGGACCATCACTTGAAGAAGAACTTGTCTCTCTCACCAACAGAAATTGGTTCAATAAAAGGTGTTAACTCACCCTCCTTGTCTTTCCAAGATCAATGACTGAAATTTTCTGGTTGAGTTTTGCCTGGAAACCAAAATGGATCAACAAGACTAATGGAGAAATTATTTTCTTCTGATGCCCAGACTAACTAGGTCGTGTAGGTCTGATTAAAGGAGTCCCTGCTTCAAGAGGTCTGGTCTTTTCCGACAGTGCAATAGAGGTTCCTTGACTGTCCATCAAGTCCAATAGGACCATTCTGCAGCTGCCTGAATTCTGAGCCACTTTCCCTGAAGAAAGGCCCTTAAGCACAATTCCCATTACACTGCAGCCAAAAGCAGGGCTTCACAGGAATAATAGGCTGCCGGGCGGTGAGAAAGAGGTGGTGAGCTTGATACAAGACAACAGTGAGACTGTTGGTGTGCTGTGTGACAGACCCAGACCAGTGGGGTACAGGAGTCTGGTAGAGGGCAAATATACTGGTCACTGGATGAGTAGTTTTCTGTTCCCTGAGTGACCAGAGAAGGGGCTGCACTAGAGTAATCAGGAACCTGCTAGAACCAGTTAAGGCAGGCAGGCTAATTAGGACACCTGGAGCCAATTAAGAAGAAGCTGCTAGAATCAATTAAGGCAGGCTAATCAAGGCACCTGGGTTTTAAAAGGAGCTCACTTCAGTTTGTGGTGCGAGTGTGAGGAGCTGGGAGCAAGAGGCGCAAGGAGCTGAGAGTGAGAGGGTGTGCTGCTGGAGGACTGAGGAGCACAAGCGTTATCAGACACCAGGAGGAAGGTCCTGTGGTGAGAATAAAGAAGGTGTTTGGAAGAGGCCATGGGGAAGTAGCCCAGGGAGTTGTAGCTGTCATGCACTATAGACAGCTGCAGTCCACAGGGCCCCGGGCTGGAACCCAGAGTAGAGGGCGGGCCCGGGTTCCCCCCAAACCTCCCAATTGATCTGGACTGTGGGTTCTTCCAGAGGGGAAGGTCTCTGGGCTGTTCCCCAACCCACATGGTGAATCTCTGCGGCAAGAATATCCGCCAATAAGCGCAGGACCCACCAAGATAGAGGAGGAACTTTGTCACAGCTGATACCACTGCCTATCATGTTGACCAATATTTGTCTCACTCTTTCCTTGCAGTCCTCCTTCAGTCTGTATCCATCTGTCGTCTCTTGTCTTGTACTTAGATTGTAAGCTCTTTGGGATACGGATTGTCTTTTTTGTCCCATGTATGTACTGAGCCTAGCACAACGGGGTCCTGTTCCATGACTAGGGCTTACCGGATCTACGGTAATAAATAATAATAATAATACAGAACATTGTGAAAGAGGCTCTGTATACTAGCAAACCCCCAGCAAACACTTCTTCAAGGGGAGGGAAGGCCAGGTACGAGTTTAACCTCTGATTTTTATACCATTTGTTCATTATCACTACAAATTGCTATTATCAAGGGGATGATTGCTTTGCCTTTTTTGGGACCCAGAGTCTCTGGAGTTTGCAAGATGTAGCCCCAAGCTTCATAAGAATCCCCCTGTTCATAATGAGAGGAAGGGGAGCTACATACAAGCCCTGGTTCTTTCCCCATGGAGCTGAGAACGCCCCTTCATCCTTCCACACACACACTTTGGTATCATGAAGAGAGAAGGCAGCTTTGGATTCCTTCAGGAATTTTTTTCCCTCTGACCCAGGGACTTACCCTCTGATCTGCTGGCCAGATGGTATCCTCCTTAGATTCTCTCCTCAAAATGCTCAGAAGGTCCTTATTGGAGTTGCGCTTCTCAGGGGAGGAGGTGCTAATCCAACTCTGAGCCCTATGCTCTGGCAGTGAGAGCACTGGCTGGCTGTGAACAGGCAGAGCCTAATTTACCCGCTGTAGAGCCTGTGAAGGCTGCCCCACTTTGAGAATGCTGCTTAGATTTAGCCCAGTATTTGCAGGACAGCTCTGCTATGCAGGAATTCAGAAGGGAGGTGCAGCAGTGGTGGATTTGGGTGGTTGAAACAATCATGCTGCCAAATACCTAATTCAGGGGAGGAGAAGGAAGAAAGATTGTAAATTGCTACTGCACAAAAACAAATAAAAATAAAAATTATAAATCAAAATGGTCAGGAGAAACTGAACCACCAACTTGTGCAGCTAGAAGCAGAAGATCTGGTAGTCTGAACTGAAATGTAGGGCTTAGTCCAGGAGCTTCCAGCAACATTGGACCACCTCTGCATTTCACAGGTACAAGCATTAACCCGTTAGTGATGAATAAACATAGAAGCTGTGCTTAGAACAGCTTTTACCTTCATATCTGTACACCTTGAGGAATCTTTTAAAAGTCGAGGAATAGGGAGTGTTGGGCTGGGGGAAGTACTGAGTTATTTTGGTGCACAGATCTGGAGGAAGTGGGGAGGACAGCAGGAGTTGAGGGATTGGATTGGAACAGAAGAGGCATGGCATAGAACGATTGTGGACATGGGAGGGCAGAGTGGATGGTGAGCAACATAGAGGGAGAAGCAGCAGTGTTTGTGCAAGTAGACATGGAAGGGTGGAGAGGGTAGGTAGGTGGCATGGAGGAAGAAGCAGCAATGTTTGTGTGGGGGAGCTGGGCTTTCCACAGCAGTCACTGAAGGAGAGCAGATGTTTTATGGGGAAAATGGTATCTCTATTGGGTGGGGAGAAGCAGGTTTGTGCTGTGACAAACCTCGAACATTATGCTACAGAGGATCTCCACTCTACCACTTATAAATAATTGCGAAGTAGGGAGCCAGATACTCATTAGGGACAGGAAACTGGGAAAAGGTGTGCAACAGCAGTATTAGTGAGTCAGTGGCGAGTCCGTTTACACCCCACCATGTTCCCTATAGTCCTCCTTTAAGCATGACAACAACAGGAGTCCCAGTCCAACTTGCTAATGGTCATAGCAGGTCTCTGCAGGAGGTTTGCCAGAGTTGCTAACTTAATTTTTCAGACAATCCTTACCCCTTCTTGCCAATAAGACATGGTGGGAGGAAGGCGGTTCAGGAGGAAAAGCTGCAGTCAGACAAGTAGCCCTAGCCAGGGAGGCAGCTTCTCCCTCTAGTGAATCTTTGTGATTTGTTATGAGGAAATCAAACTCTAACAAACCTCACTTGGTGTGTACAACCGGAACTAAAATAAAAGTGGTCAGTAAAAATATGTATTCAAACCTGGAGTTGAAGGATATGTTCCAGGCAAGTGAATTTGATTGTTTACATGTTATAAATAAATGAAGAAGATTTGAGCCCCTTTCATGATGTTACAGTTCTAGGTGATCTCTTCATCCAACAACTACTAGTAGTAGATACACTACCAAGAAAACATGTGTGTTCTACCTGTTTGAGGGTCTGATAATCCTTTCACAGCAGATGTCAGATTTTCCTATCAATCGATGCATCAAAACTATGGCTGCCTTTTGACATCTTAACACTAGAGAAGTACAGAAAAGGTAAGGACATTAACTCTGTTGGAAATAGTGTCTTATAATTTACCTCTATTGCAGTATGGTGAGTCCAACAGTATCTCTGGGATTCTAGATTCAGCAGCTAAAAACTGTAAATACATTCTAATGACTTCCCTGATAATCCAAGAAAGTGAGAAAAGCCAACAGTTTAATTTAAAACAAATATTCTATTCTACTTTATCAATACATCAGGTTCAAAAATACGGGTTCACTACTAAACGTTGGCAGACCTTTAACTACACCATTGTGAGCAGTGCTGCTGTAATATACTGGTATGAAGGAGATCTTAATGGATAAAAATTGCACCATTCTTGTTCAACTCTAAGGTTTTCTATTCAATAGAGTAAATGCTATTTATTAAACCTTTGTTTTTGCAATATAGATGTGCATTATTAAATACAATTAGGTACTGTATAAATGTTTACAATGTGCAAAGAGTAAAAAAATCATTTAAATATGAAGTATATACAGTACTGTACATATGCATTTAGTAGCATTTTCGTTTTCTTAGCCTTTGTAGCTTCTTTTGGATTACTAATAAGCCCTCAGTTTCCCTTGTGTCTTTCCCAGAAGCCTCAGCTCCTTCAGTACTGTTTTGTGACGTTTTTGTTTCTGCAGCAGACTTAGAATTATTTTTGAGTAAAAGGTGATCTGATGGATCATTGGATATTGCACTGGTGGATTCATCCACACAATCAATCTTCTTTTCTTCTGGCAAACTATGCAAGAGCACTTGTGTGTTTATCATTGCAAGTTCTTCATCGGCAACCAAGTCATTCTCAGGAAGAGAGGCAGTTTCATTTGTCCTTTTAAAGGAGTTGATATGACCAGGGTTAGGATTTGTTCTCTTCAGTGATTTGTTAAACTGGACACCAGAGCTTCGTGGTGGCTGAAAAGCCTTTTTCAAAGATGGAGAAACAAATGAATTCATTGGTGTCACTGGAGGAGGGGAAGGCATTTTACAGAGCAGGTCCAGAGCTTTTCTTTTTTTGGAGTTCTTGGGGGGTTCTTCACTATGAGAAGTATGTGGGGTCATTTGTTCTGAGCCTTGTGGAACAAGTTTCAGGTCACGCTTGCTGTATGGCAGAGACCTCTGATACTGTATTTCGCTATTAGGAGAGGAAATCTAGTTAAAAAGAAGAAAAAGTTTTAATGTTGAGTCAAACACCTTATTTTCTTTAATTTCCTATTATTTCCACATACAATAGGAAATTGGACAAACAATACTGTGCCACCATTTATGTCTGAGCACATTAGTCGATCTTCTGGTAGTGGCTAGCAATCCCAAGCTGAAGTTAGTAGAAAAAAGTTATATGACTCCAGGAGGGTCCCTGTGTACATACAGATTAAGGCAGAGAACAGTTTGGCACTGTATCGCAAATCTAAACTTCCCATATGTGAAACCTCTTCCATCAGATGATGAGGATTCATAAAATGCCTGACCAGCTATGAAAAGACAGGCTGACCTAATATATTCTAAATGACAAGAGGTTGAAAAAATACGAGGTAGGGAAGTAGGGAGACAGAAAAGGAAAATAGGGTATGTTGCTCTTGCACTGAAAGCTGGGAGCTGATCTTTAGTTTGTTTCAGATAAAAGTTAGTTAGGAAGTGTAACAGATGTGATGTGATGAACAAAGGCATATCTTGAGACCACTTTATTTGACTTTTTGAATGTTATATGGAACATTTTGGGCTAGGGATTGTACTCTATTCCCTGGAGGAGGGTTACCACAGCACTCCAGGAACTAAAAACAGTGGGAGGCGATTATTTCAGTCCTTGAGATTGTGAACAGTTCTAGAGAAGTACCACCC